ATGTCAGGGACAAGATTGTAGACCTACATAAGGCTGGAATGGGCTACAAGACTATTGCCAAGCAGCTTGGTGAGAAGGTGACAACAGTTGGTGCGATTATTCGCAAATGGAAGAAACACAAAAGAACTGCCAATCTCCCTTGGCCTGGGGCTCCATGCAAGATCTCACCTCGTGGAGTTGCAATGATCATGAGAACGGTGAGGAATCAGCCCAGAACTACACGGGAGGATCTTGTCAATGATCTCAAGGCAGCTGGGACCATAGTCACCAAGAAAACAATTGGTAACACTACGCCGTAAAGGACTGAAATCCTGCAGCGCCCGCAAGGTCCCCCTGCTCAAGAAAGCACATATACATGCCCGTCTGAAGTTTGCCAATGAACATCTGAATGATTCAGAGGACAACTGGGTGAAAGTGTTGTGGTCAGATGAGACCAAAATGGAGCTCTTTGGGATCAACTCAACTCGCCGTGTTTGGAGGAGGAGGAATGCTGCCTATGACCCCAAGAACACCATCCCCACCGTCAAACATGGAGGTGGAAACATTATGCTTTGGGGGTGTGTTTCTGCTAAGGGGACAGGACAACTTCACCGCATCAAAGGGACGATGGACAGGGCCATGTTAAGTCAAATCTTGGGTGAGAAACTCCTTCCCTCAGCCAGGGCATTGAAAATGGGTCGTGGATGGGTTTTCCAGCATGACAATGACCCAAAACACACGGCCAAGGCAACAAAGGAGTGGCTCAAGAAGAAGCACATTAAGGTCCTGGAGTGGCCTAGCCAGTCTCCAGACCTTAATCCCATAGAAAATCTGTGGAGGGAGCTGAAGGTTCGAGTTGCCAAACGTCAGCCTCGAAACCTTAATGACTTGGAGAAGATCTGCAAAGAGGAGTGGGACGAAATCCCTCCTGAGATGTGTGCAAACCTGGTGGCCAACTACAAGAAACGTCTGACTTCTGTGATTGCCAACAAGGGTTTTGCCACCAAGTACTAAGTCATGTTTTGCAGAAGGGTCAAATACTTATTTCCCTCATTAAAATGCAAATCCATTTATAAAATTTTTGACATGCATTTTTCTGGATTTTTTTGTTGTTATTCCGTCTCTCACTGTTCAAATAAACCTACAATTAAAATTATAGACTGATCATTTCTTTGTCAGTGGGCAAAACTTACAAAATCAGCAGGGAATCAAATACTTTTTTCCCTCACTGTAGACAACACGTTCTACTTAATTAAATAGACTTTTTAATGGTTTCTCATACAACATCAGAGTGCAGCGGCACATTAAATGCGCACTACAATGACAATAGTTTAAAACGATTTGAAGCATGCTTTTTTTTTGAGGGGGCAAAGCTTTGTGACGTCATATTTGAGGGGGGGTCTGACTTTTTGTGACGCCGTGTGACGAGGGGAGGGGGTCAAAAATCGTCCAAAATCGCGTGACGTCATTTATGGACGGCCCCTAAGAGGTAAACTTGATGTCGTGTGCCGGGTGTAAGTTTGTTTTCCATGTTGCAATTTAACTCTGCGTACATTTTGAAAATGACGAATAGGCAGAAGTGGAAGGCATATTGCAAGATATATCGCACTTATTACACACAAAGTGATTGCCACAAATGAACCATTTGTGGCTTTTGGCTAACCGTCGAACTAAGGCGGTCACCGCATCGCGCGCACTCAGATATGCTTCTGCGGCCGTCTGGAACGCTCTACCTTCCGATATTAGCAAGCCACTGGAGCGATGCACTTTTAAATCATCTAGATTGTTTTTATAACAAAATTTAGTGTTTAGTCTGCTGTCCTTCCCCCACGCCTCCGATTAGCGAGGTTGGCTACTTACTGCGAGAAAGAAGTTCAATATATCAGTAAAGGAAACAGTTGTGTGCCAACAGCCCAAAAGGCCAAGCGACATTAAGACGTATGCTATTAAATACCATTTCAGAGTAACATGCTAGACAGTTTGCTTGTTGAGACACATTAAAGTTAGCATGTTAAGCAACTGAGAAAACCTATCCACAGAGGCAGCACCCCCAGAAAATAGCATTCCGAACGCAAGGCAATCAAAACACATTAACCATGAGCTTACTCTGGCCACCAGCACCAAACAGCATTCCTAAACCGTTTCCCCCTTCAACCACAAACGTATCACTTTAAGGTGTTTGCTGAATATAACCCATGCGTCTTGGCGAATCCCTTAATTAAAGCAGCAAGCCAGTGGCTGTCCTGGTCAAGATATGGTGATGGCAACAATGAAAACTTGGTCATAAGGATTATAATCATGCTGGTGACTGATAATAATGGCTTGCATTGTTATGGAACTATAGAAAACGTAATTGTTATAAATAACCAAGTAGGGTAATACAAATTATGGTAATGATGATGACCATGACTGGTAACATCAATGGTTGTGATAATTCTAAGAGATGATAATCATGATAAAGATTAATTATCACTATGCATAATGATGACAATGGCAGTTAATTATTGATAGTGGTGGTGGTAATTGAGCATGAGTGATGATGATCCTCAGCATATTAATTTGTGATTCTGACATTGCTGGTAATGTTAAAGTTGATGGTGGTGATGTTCTTGATTGTGGTGATGTTGTTGGTGGTAGAAATATTGCTGGTGGTGATATTGTTGGTGGTGCTGGTGATAATTTTGGTGGTGATGATGTTGTTGGTGGTAGAAATATCGCTGGTGGTGATATTGTTCGTGGTGATATTCGTGGTGGTGATGTTGGTGGTGCTGGTGATGATTTTGGTTTTGGTGGTGATGTTGGTGGTGATGATGTTGATGGCGGTGATAGTGATGATGTTGGTGATGATGTTGATGGTGGTGATGATGTTGATGGTGGTGCTGGTGATGATTTTGGTGGTGGTGGTGATGATGTTGTTGTTGGTGATTATGTTGATGGCGGTGATAGTGATGATGTTGATGGTGGTGATGTTGGTTATGATGTTAATGGTGGTGATGATGTTGATGGTGGTGCTGGTTTTGGTGGTGGTGATGATGTTGCTGGTGGTGATGATGTTGATACTGGTGCTGTTATTGATGATCGTGATGATGGTGGTGATAAAGGTGATGATGGTGGTGATGATGTTGATGGTGGTGATAGTGATGTTGGTGGTGGTGATGTTGATGGTGGTGATGAAGGTGATGTTAGTGGTGATGTTGATGGTGGTGATGAAGGTGATGTTGATGATGGTGATGTTGATGATGTTGGTTGTTGATGATGGTGGTGATGTTGGTGGTGATGTTGATGGTGGTGGTGATGTTGGTGGTGATGTTAATGTTGGTGGTGATGTTGATGATGGTGGTGATGTTGGTTGTTGATGATGGTGGTGATGTTGATGATGGTGGTGATGTTGGTGGTGATGTTAACGTTGGTGGTGATGTTGGTGGTGATGTTGGTGGTGATGTTGATGGTGGTGATGTTGATGATGGTGGTGATGTTGGTGGTGATGTTGATGTTGGTGGTGATGTTGATGATGGTGATGATGGTGATGTTGATGATGGTGGTGATGTTGGTGGTGATGTTGTTGGTGGTGATGTTGATGGTGGTGGTGATGTTGGTGATGATGTTGATGGTGGTGGTGATGTTGATGATGTTGATGGTGGTGATGTTGATGGTGGTGGTGATGTTGGTGATGATGTTGATAGTGGTGGTGATGTTGATGTTGATGATGGTGATGTTGATGGTGATGTTGATGGTGATGTTGGTGGTGATGTTGATGTTGGTGGTGATGTTAACGTTGGTGGTGATGTTGATGGTGATGTTGATGATGGTGGTGTTGGTTGTGATGTTGATGTTGGTGGTGATGTTAACGTTGGTGGTGATGTTGGTGGTGATGTTGATGGTGGTGGTGATGTTGATGATGGTGGTGATGTTGGTGGTGATGTTGATGTTGGTGGTGATGTTGATGATGGTGATGATGGTGATGTTGATGATGGTGGTGATGTTGTTGGTGGTGATGTTGATGGTGGTGGTGATGTTGGTGATGATGTTGATGGTGGTGGTGATGTTGATGTTGATGATGGTGATGTTGATGGTGGTGGTGATGTTGATGGTGATGTTGGTGGTGATGTTGATGTTGGTGATGATGTTGATGATGGTGATGATGTTGATGGTGGTGGTGATGTTGATGTTGGTGGTGATGTTGATGGTGGTGGTGATGTTGGTGATGATGTTGATGGTGGTGGTGATGTTGATGATGATGTTGATGATGTTGATGGTGATGTTGGTGGTGATGTTGATGATGTTGATGGTGATGTTGGTGGTGATGTTGATGTTGGTGATGATGTTGATGGTGATGATGTTGATGATGGTGATGATGTTGATGTTGGTGGTGATGTTGATGTTGGTGGTGATATTGGTGATGATGTTGATGATGGTAGTGATGTTGATGGTGATGTTGGTGGTGATGTTGATGTTGGTGATGATGTTGATGGTGATGATGTTGATGATGGTAGTGATGTTGATGGTGATGTTGGCGATGATGTTGATGATGGTGATGATGTTGATGATGGTAGTGATGTTGATGGTGATGTTGGCGGTGATGTTGATGTTGGTGATGATGTTGATGGTGATGATGTTGATGGTGATGTTGGTGATGATGTTGATGATGATGTTGATGATGGTGGTGTCGCTGTTGTCGATGTTGTTGCTGGTCACGCCCCCCACTAGAAACCTAAGGAGCGCGCTCCCGGCATGCCGCGCGGCGCTTTGTCCGGGTCCCGCTACGGACTTCTCCTCCTCCTCTCGCTCTCCTCGTCACTGTCAACCCTCTCACCCTCCTCCTCCTCTCACCCTCCTCCTCCTCTCACCCTCCTCCTCTCACCCTCACCCTCCTCCTCTCACCCTCACCCTCCTCCTCTCACCCTCCTCCTCCTCTCACCCTCCTCCTCCTCTCACCCTCCTCCTCTCACCCTCCTCCTCCTCCTCTCACCCTCCTCCTCCTCCTCTCACCCTCCTCCTCCTCCTGTCACCCTCCTCCTCTCACCCTCCTCTCCTCTCACCCTCCTCCTCCTCCTCTCATCCACCTCCTCCTCACCTCGTCCCCCCCCCCCGTCTCTGGAGCTCAGAGGTTCTCATCGACTCGTCCCAGCGTGCGGGGACTCGGCCAGCGCGACGCCCCCCGTGAGTTACTCACCGACACCCAGCGACTCGTGTCGACTGGCGACTAGCGACTGGCGACACGAGCCGACTGGCGACACGAGTCGCAGTCGACTGGCAACACGAGTCGCACTCGACTAGCGACTAGCGACACGAGTCGACTGGCAACACGAGTCGCAGTCGACTAGCGACTGGCGACACGAGTCGACTGGCGACTAGCGACTAGCGACACGAGTCGACTGGCCACACGAGTCGACTGGCCACACGAATTTCAGTCGACTGGCAACACGAGTCGCACTCGACTAGCGACACGAGTCGCAGTCGAGTGGCGACTGGCGCCACGAGTCGACCCTCAACGTATCATCATCAGCATCATCATTGACATCCACCCAGTGCCACTACTCAACCCTCAACTCGTGTTACGCGCAAACCCTTAGCCTTCCTCTACTGGCACTATTAAACATTTATTAGTGGTACTACTATCCCCTTATTTTACCTCTAACTTGTGATACGACTTCACCATTTATCATTGTCACTACTAACCCTTTATTTTACCTCTAACTTGTGATACGACTTAACCATTTATCATTGTCACTACTAACCCTTTATTTTACCTCTAACTTGTAATACGACTTTACCATTTATTAGTGTCACTACTAACCCTTTGTTTTACCTCTAACTTGTGATACGACTAAACCATTTATTAGTGTCACTATTAACCCTTTATTTTACCTCTAACTTGTGATACCACTTAACCATTTATCAGTGTCACTACTATCCCTTTATTTTACCTCTAACTTGTGATACGACTTAACCATTTATCATTGTCACTACTAACCCTTTATTTTACCTCTAACTTGTAATACGACTTAACCATTTATTAGTGTCACTACTAACCCTTTATTTTACCTCTAACTTGTGATACGACTTTACCATTTATCAGTGTCACTACTAACCCTTCATTTTACCTCTAACTTGTGATACGACTTCACCATTTATTAGTGTCACTACTATCCCTTTATTTTACCTCTAACTTGTGATACGACTTCACCATTTATTAGTGTCACTACTATCCCTTTATTTTACCTCTAACTTGTGATACGACTTAGCCATGTATCAGTGTCACTACTATCCCTTTATTTTACCTCTAACTTGTGATACGACTTAACCATTTATCAGTGTCACTACTATCCCTTTATTTTACCTCTAACTTGTGATACGACTTTACCATTTATTAGTGTCACTACTAACCCTTTATTTTACCTCTAACTTGTGATACGACTTAACCATTTATCAGTGTCACTAGTAACCCTTAATTTTACCTCTAACTTGTGATACGACTTCACCATTTATTAGTGGCACTACTATCCCTTTATTTTACCTCTAACTTGTGATACGACTTTACCATTTATCAGTGTCACTACTATCCCTTTATTTTACCTCTAACTTGTGATACGACTTCACCATTTATCAGTGTCACTACTATCTCCTTATTTTACCTCTGTGATACGACTTCACCATTTATTAGTGGCACCGATAAACATTTTTTACCTCCACTAAGTGCAACGACTAAACCCCCTAACTCGTATCACCAGCAAACCTTCCTGTCACCTCCACCGAATGTGACTAATGCACCTTTGTTTAACCCACGACTTGTGTTATTATCGAACGTTCATGTTTCACCTCTATTCATCACCCCTATTAAACCTCAATGTCACCTTAATATCTAACAAGTACCTCAATTTAACCTCTACGTATTGCCATTTCTAAACCTTTCTGCTCTTTAAACGTCCAACCCATGAACATGTATCCCTGTTAAACCTTGGCTGAACTTTTTACTAGGGCCACCACTAAACCTTTATTATACCTTCACCCTTAAGTAACCCTTGCCTGTATTTACCCTCTAGCGCTGCAGTTAAAACTCATAACCTTAACCCAACCACGTTACACTGAATCGCTTCTGTAAGACTGAATCACTGCTGACACTCATAGCTTCTGCCTTTATTCACTCAAAACCACGAGCTTCGATAGAATCTTTAACCAGCACGCCTTTCCTTGCACACCTTTTACTACGTCGTGTAACTATCGTCTTAACTACTACAGTATTGACACACTACAGTACTTACTCCGAGGATTAGGATTGTACTTAGCGTCTTAATGCAACCTGCATTGAACGGCACGGTGCACTCTATTAACCTTGCAATACACACAGAGTCTCACTTTATTATTATGCACAATATTTAACCACCAGTTTTTGTTTGGCATTGCAGTAAACACTTTACCAAACACGCTACTTCTCGCCAAGCTTATTTCAAAACAACAACTCTTATCAATTTTAACTAGGTCTTCGGTACAATATATGTTTTAGCCGTCAACTCGAATACACATTGGTCGTAATATATTTACAAAAAAAACTCAACACATTTGGCAATAACACTTTGCTATTAAAATGAGAATCGTACAGTGGTCGACGTTTTGAGTAATGGCCCTTCATAGCACATTAAAACCAGGCAAGTGTTGTTGACGAAAGTTGAGTTCTTTTGTTAGTCGTGCTTTTGCACCACTGCCATCGCAGCAGCAGCAGCAGCAGCATCATCATCACCGAATACTTTGTTTCGTACATTTGCAGTGCCTTTCTTAAACCACCGATTTGTGAAACCACTGACTGGCATTATAGCACGAGCAGCAACATTGCCTCCTTATAAGCGCTCTCTTCACTGGGTCACTGCCGTGTGTTCATTGTTGGGGACAATCACAATACTGGAGCGCCATGTCTGTGTGGTTCCACCGTGCTGTTTGCATATTTTGTGTTTTTTGTTCTCGTGTCTCCCGAGATGCCACTTCTAGCAGGGGGCAACAGAGACCACGCTCAGAGGAGGTTGAGAGGCTCGAGAGACACGGATGGAGATGACAGGAAGACAGATTGTAAAATATGGAAAAAATCAGCGGAGTGATGAGATGATGAGGCGGGGGGGGGCGGTGTGCAGATAACAAAATGATGTTGGTACAACATCATCACAGCTGCACCAGCATTGTTGACACCTCACAGATGTTGCTCGTTGTGTACACGAAGAGCCCTTTTGTTAATCCACTGCTCGATGAGATCCTCCCCACACCTTTGCAGATCGTTGTTTTGAGATGGGTGGCACGCGGGTTGGTACGGGATGGTGAAGGCGGGAAGTTTAGGTACCGGAGTCTGCCCACTACGTTGGCCCGCAATCCCATGGCAACCTGTTTGTGCATTCTGGTAGCCCATCTCAGCAAGCACTGTCCAGACTAAATTCTGCTTAGCTTCTGAGATGTGATGAGATCAGGCACATTCTGATGACTCGTCACTCGTTAATATTACTGACAGGTATGGCCCCATACATGGTATTGTCCAGTTATCAAGGTAAGCTTATGCAATGTTGTGCAATCGGGTATCAAAGGGTTTGGATCCCAGAGTATTCAACGCAATGCTCCTATTGGTGTCGGTGAGTGGTGGCTGCCCTATGAACTCGGCAACAGGAGTTCAAATACTCAGCCATGGCTAACATCAGTGATGACTGACATCCAACCGCTCCATGACCCACCTCCTTTCACCAACCGCTTTGACCAGCGTAGTGAAGTATGGTTAAGCGACCCCCATAATTGACACTGTCGGTGTGGGTATGTATTCATCTAGCAGAGAATGGACAACAACAAAGACTTCAAATTATTAAGGTGGCATTTGTATCACGTTCATCAACTGCACAGTACTTATCAGACAGGAGAGACGAGAATGTATGAGTATAGGCACTGGAGATGGGGAGGAGAGTAAAGTGAGATGTATGGCTGATGTTGGTTCGGAGTTGAGGTTGTTTTTTGTTGTTGTTGATGGAGACGTTTGAGTGAAATGGAGAGGCGTGTGGCCTCGGCTGCACTACGTCAAGCATGCCCAAGTGGAATTCCCCACTTCTTGCCAACACGAGGAGGTGGGGGTAACTATGATAATAAACAGTAATGAGTGGTCCCTCACCGTGGGGAGGCCTCTTCATCCAGTGGTAGATTTGGCAGGAAGGTGCGTACATGTACACTGTATATACATGTTCTGAGTCTAAAGCAGTGTTCCTCATTGCAAGGCCTGCCGGGCCGCTGGCGTGTGGAGGCCCTCGCACACTGATGATGTCTTTTCAGACCAAAGTGGGTCTCCCTGTGAAAATGAGTGAAGAACGCTGGTATAAGGGGTGAAATGGAGACCCTTTTGCGTGCATGAGTGGCTGTTGATTAATAAATCATACTTTTCGAGGCTGCATAGCAAGCATCTTTTAATCCACACTAGTGTCAATGTCTGTTCTCTTGTAGCTGCTGAACTGTAGTTTTATATGTTTAGTAACAGATATTGTGTTGTGCTAGCAGAGTTGATGTACGGTGTAGTTACTGTGCTAATGTCTGGGTTTATATGTCGCGTACAATTTCATATAAAATTCTATATTTGCCACGGATTTTTGAGGACGCGTGCCCCTGATTTTTAGTGCGTTCAACTAATATATTTTACTGACCACAATAGTCCTTTCGAATTGGGCGTTTGCATTTTTTATGGCATTAAGAAAACTAGTTTTATGCGAACAGATTTTTGGGAGCAAAAAAATACCAGCATGTAATTCACCAAAAAACTTCATGGTGTTTGAAATATGCAGCAGCAATGTGGTTCTGAAAGCTTTGTCGTCATGGAAGCCACGGATATAGATTTATAAATTACTATGCAACTGACAAACACTTGGCCGAAGCCGCTCAATAACAGCAATTGTTCTGTACAACCCTGGGTAAATGTAGAATCATTATTTTGCTACACTAAGCTGCTGGTAGAACACTACGATTAAACTGTGATAAATAAAACGTGGAAAAATGGGATTTTCAACATGAAACGCTTCTATTTGAAATTTCCTAAGTGTTCTATAATTTAAACTCTAGTTGGTTAATGGTTAATTTTTTTTCCCCGAGGGACCTTTAGCCCAGGAATTGAGATAGTGAATTGTTTACACTTGGACAGATACATGGACTGTCGATACCAACGTGACCTCCAAAGCTCTACCTTCATTTATGCAAGACAATTTAATATCTTAATCTCTAAACTGGCATGAAGAGGAATTTAGATGGTATACTGTGTGTACTATTCAAAGATATTTGGTGTATGATTGACCAGTCTATACCATTTGAAGCCAACCAGATAAACTGCATTGAAGTCTAAAAATAGACTTTTATTTTTTCAAGGTATATGTTAGAATAACAATATGAACATTAATTTGAAACCGTTAAATTATGAGCAATTCCAGAGAGTAACTTTATAAGCTAAAGCCTGAATTATCAAAAAACTCGATGCGATTAGTGAGTGTCCTTGTATTTCATTAACGTATTGTACATATTTCCACATCTTTACGTGTATATCAAAGCATAGCGGTGTACCTTAATTATTACATGTGGACTGCCTCTCAGTCCGTGTTTGTCATCCCTGCATTGTGCCATTAATTTAAATTGTCGTTTGTCTCAATACTGTGGTATATATCCCCGCATTTAGTGTGTATCCAAACATATTGCACGCTGACATCGCCAGGCATTTTAACAATAACAACATCTTGAGTGGTGAATGACTATCCACATTGCATCGTGCTGATGCCTGTGTCATTATCTAAAATGAAATGTCCGCAAGTGAATTGCGTTTTTGTTAATACTTTACTTTATCTATACGCCACTTCCAATTAAACCAAAATACCTTACCAGTTAGCTACATTAAAGTACAATTTATGCCATCTAAAATTTACAGAGCTGCAGTGGGCTAAATAAAGCATTAGGAACATTTGGAATGACCATGCAGAGAATGTTGAAATTTCCAAATCTAAAACAATTCTCAGAGATTTGAAGCTTTCGTGACTGCAGGAATCCATACTCTTTGGTTCTTTCGGTAAAGTCACGTAGGTGATTTATTTTATTTTATTTCTACCTACGTGACTTTACCGAAAGAACCAAAGAGTATAATTCTCAGAGAGTGCTTAAAGCTGTAGCATGCATGTTTTGGTACCAGGTTATCCTTTTCTCTTCCTGGCTTACTTCGTACCTATTTGGAGATGAATAGTTAATTTTGCACTGTCTACAAATTATTAATGTAAATCGATAATAGCTATGGATCCACATACAGTTATTTCACACAAGTAATTATACGTCAAATTCTTCGTTGTTTGAGTCGCATTAATAAGTACGCGTCGCCGCATACGGATCCTGTCGCGCGTGACTTGCAATTTTACTCACCGGGGGGGTCCATCTCTCTTTCAGAGGGACGCCGTTTTGCTGCTCCTCCTCCACGGCCGCATTGAGGCCGCTGCGGGGGGCGACGAACATGGCCGACGATCCGGTAGGAGAGGAGCTCAGCTTGGTGAACGACAACCACCTGCCGGACCTCCTGCGGGAGCTGTGCGAGCTGCGCGAGAAGGGCTCCTTCTGCGACGTCGTTGTGGAAGTGCAGAGCCGGCGCTACCTGGCCCACAAGGCCGTGCTGAGCAGCACCTGCAGGTACTTCCGGAGCCTCTTCCTCGACGTGCCCTGCAGCTCCATGGGGCCCTTCGTCATCGACTTCCTGACCATAAAGCTCTTCCACCAGATTCTGGAGTTCGTCTACAAGGGGCACATCAAAGCCGACAAGGTGGAGATTCGCGACTTGTACAAAGCAGCCAAGGACCTCGGACTTGACTGCCTGGAGGAGATCTGCCAGCGCACCGTGCCCTTGGAGTACCTCGAGGAGTGTTCAGACAGCGAGTCGGAGATCTCGCAATCTCTCAGCGACGCGGGCGCGCAGATGTCGCCCTCGGCCGATGGGTGCGTTGAAGACGGAGGGGCAATTTCTGCTGAAATTCATAACGACGTTGACGGTGGAGGTAAAACGAACGCTAAGCACAAAGCTGAAAACTGCGTCACCAAAAATAAGGGAGAGAAGAGTCGTCAAAGTAATGATGCCAGGAGCTCTGACAGTGTCCACAGCCAACCCTGCAATGGCAACAAACCGCAAAAAAGTGTGAAGGCTGGAAAAAATTCAGAGCAAGAATTTTGCATCTCCAATGTGGAGAGCATGTCACGCCGTGCAGGAGAGCGAGCTGTCGCAGAGGCACCGCCAGATAAACACGACTCTGCTCAAAGGAGAGGAGATTTAAATTATACTACCGTTGGCATTTGCGAAGTTAAGATGGAGCCTTTGGACGAAGAGGCGTTCATATTGCCTTCGCGCAAGGAATCGTGCTTGAGTCACGTTGGACTGAAAGCAAACGACAACGAAAATGAGATGGTCCAATCCTCCGATGTAAAACACAGAGACCCCAACTCGCCCATGCTTGGCATAGATGGCAGCAGGCACATGGAGGTAATCCACGCCATGCAGAGTTATCCGATGGTGGCTGCCGACGGCAAGCTGCGTAACCAGCTGCACATGAACGACTTTGCGCCGCGGTTGCCCGTGGGTGCCGCCGACTCGTTTGTATTGTGCCAGGTGTGCGGTGAATTCGTTCAGGAGATGGGGCTGAAGGATCACGCGGCCGTGCACCTCGACCTGGCGACCATGGAGTGCAAGGTGTGTGGCGTCGCCTTCGGCTCGTTTGGCGAGGCCGTGGAGCACGTGCTCCTGCACACGGGCATCACCGCCTCGCCCTGCGAGGGCTGCGGCGAGGTTTTCCTTTCCAAGGACAGCCTCTCGCTGCACGTGAGGGACTGCGGCAAGGGCGAGCCCAAGGACCACCTGGACGACTTCCAGATGGACGAGTCGGAGGGGCTCGACGGCGGGCCGCCGGAAAGGGTGTTCTGCCAGGTGTGTGGCGTCTCCCTGCCCAGGAAGTTCCTCGCCGTTCGCAAGCACGCCAAGTGCCACGTGGACAGCGAGAAGCGCGAGTGCAGGGTGTGCGGCCGCAAGTGCAACTACCTGAGCAACGTCATCAAGCACACGCTCATCCACATCGGCGTGTGCCTCTTCACGTGCGACATCTGCGGCAAGAAGTTCCTCAACAGGAACAATCTGATGGCCCACCGGCGCAGGGTGTGCCTGAACTCGCGGTGCTACCTGTCGGAGGGCGCGTGGCAGCACATGGTGGACGAGAACCACCCGCTGGGGGAGCTCGATCTCTCGCACTCGTCGGCGACGGCGGACGGGCCGGAGGAGGTGCTCGGCACAGACGTGTCCGAGTAGCGACGTCGCGGGGAGGGGAAAAAATCGACCGTGAATCCCTTTATTTCCTCCACCGCTGCCTCTGTCCTCCTCTGACAACCTTTCGTCAGCCACCGGTATTATTTAACAACAACAAAAACCCAACGGGAGTGATTCGTAGTTATTGAAAGGAAAACGTGTGAATTTCAATATTTGTAGTATTTGGCATTTGTTGTGGTTTTTTAAAGTATTTATTTGATTTGGAAAGGATCGTAGGTCTTGATTGTAATCAGATAGTCCGGCGCAAGGTTAATGTTTCGTGTGATTTATAGTTTTACGCAATACGCTCTTGAAGATCCTCCCACATGTTACCTTCTTTTTTGTTTGTGAAATTTTTTTTAAAGTTACATGTGATCGTGCTGAAATGGCAAGTTCAAGTGATTTTGAACATGTAAAATGTTCACTGCTTGTACTGTCAGGCTATTCTTAGAATAACAAGTTTCTCATCACTGTAGTTAAACAATAGGTTGTTTTTTTATAACAGGCGCTACGTTCCTAATAGATAAAACATATTTTGAATAAAGTATTTTATTTAAAGTACAAAAAACACAATGAAAAAGTAGAGTGTGTTATTAAATATGCCAGCTTAAGATAGTGTTTTATATATTTTGGATTATAAACTTGAATGATAACATTAAGCCTTCCTTGGTTACAAACAATGTCCAGTTTACAGAAACATGTGAGGTCTGTTCTTTAATACAAAATTTCTCCTCTGTTCATGAGGCCAGCAGACTTGAACCGCTTGTACACAGGGGGACATTCAACATTAACATTTTCACAGAATACATGTTTTGTCTGAATGACACCTGTCATTGCTAAAAAGCAGTTGATATTGTTAAGCAATTAAAATGCATTACATCAGCAGCTCACTTGCTAACAACTGCATCACATTGCTGTCTGTGCTCTGCGATTTGTATAATTGAAGAAACTTTAAAAATGCCTAATGGGCCCTGTATGTTAAAGCGTGGTAAAAAAAATAGGCTACCAATTGAAGTGTTTTGTTAAGCATGTGTGCGGGATGTCCATAAAAGTATTGTTATGTACATTATTAAACAATTACCATTCGGCGGCAGAACGTAAGCACGGTGTCACAACCGGACTTAAAATGTTAAAAGTGGTTGGTTGATGAGCAACTGGGTGAGTCTAGAAGCAGCGGTTCTCAACTGGGGGGTACGCGGAGCCCCCTAGCGGTGGGGGGGGGGCGGTACGTGTTAGGTGATTTATAAATGTGTGAAATTATATCGCGAGAGTCATCGGTGAATAATCACGTATGAATCTGCCAATCTAAAATAACTACGATAACATTTAAATCCTCGCGGTAACCGAGAACGACATCAAATATCTCTTTCTAAAGCTCGTCGATCGTACGCAATGTGGGGTTTCCAAGAGTCGTTGGCGAGTGCGAACAGATCATGTCACTCGCGTACGGGGCGTCCGTGGAATTGTTTTTATTCCGCTAGCATCTACTCGCCAATTAGGATACTTCACAAAATGGACAATTGGTTAAAATATCGATGTTCATTGTACACTTATTTCTCAGAACCTTATTGGGTCAGGCAAGGGGGTTATCGGGTGAAACTAAATTCAGCAGAGTAGTGGCCAAAACAGGTTGAAAATCACTGCTCGAGAGCAACCCCTCGCGTACACTGCAGGTTTTAAGATTCTAACATTTAAGTCGCCCAAGCAAAATCCAGGAACCCAAATGGAACAAAATAACATAACACTTGAAAGCAACAATAGTAAAAAAAAAACTTTCAGATAGGTGACCGAATGCTTAACATTTTTATAAGAAGATATCCAATACAAAGAACATGGTTTGCTCAAATCGGAAGGGTTTGCTTTCCGCTGGTTAGCTTGCCGCTTATTACCCGTATACACAGAGTACCGTGTGCGGATTTTTTTTTCCAGTGTCACAAAGGGTATATATTTTTCCCCTAACAATAGCACATTCATAGAGTACGCTTTAAATAACAGCAGCACACGAGGAGAGCGATTTTCCCTTACATTACACAAGGAGTGTTTCTCCTTTCGTTATACAGACTGTTTCTCCCAATTCCACAATCTGGACTGTTTCTTTCCGCGCAGTCAGAGAGTATATTTTTATTTTGTCTTGGCAGGGGTCACCCCCCCCCCATGCCGCACCACCACCTCATAACTTTTACGCAGTTACACATTTAACAGAGACTGACAGCTCATCCGAGATGAGACTTCGCTTCACACGAGTGCCTAGCCCTTGTCGTCCCCCCCCCCCATCCTTTTCTCTACACAGTGTCAACTTGCACGCTCTTTTCAAACCTGGACTCAATATATTGGACCCGCTTAGGCTCAGCCTGATAAGTCTCGTCCACCACACGTGGACCCTCATTGGTGGCCTGCCTCCGGGCTCTTGAAAAGGATCAAATATATACGTATTCCTTTCTTATACCACCGTACATACAATTTGTATTTACTGACTTGCAAGCTTTAAATGTGAGTTTAATACCGGTGAGGTGCCCTTATGTCTGACTTGGCCTTGTTCAGCCCTTGCTTGACAATATACCCACAAAATGCTATCGGCCCACGTTGGAATATTTTTCCTTCCTACTACTGTGCGTGCTTCATCACCCAAGCGTAATGTGAACTGATTGTTAAGACCCAATCTTACATTGAGAAACACGTCACCCTGCTGCCCCCTTGAAGGAAGATTGGGTAATTCATCCCCTCTTTTTTGCCATTACATTTCCCCATGTTGACTCTAAATTAGTTTTTTTTAATGACTTGAACTTCTCACTTTTGGGGTTATGTACAGGTTAAATCACTGTCAGTCGGTCATAAAATCCAATTATATTTTCTGCCCAGCAATCAATTGTATTTTAGAAGCTTACCTCATTTTACACACGTTTCGTCACAGACATAAGCAACGTTGCCAACATTTCGAGAATGCAATTCAATCATGTCTAAATATATTTTTTGTTAACAATGATAATGTATAATTATATATATCGCGTTCATGGAAATTACATCTCACAGTTGATGAGGAACCACCGTGAAAGGCAGCCAGGCGGTTATCAGACGTCAACAATTGCTCAAGGTCTGCAGTACTCTATATATAGGTTGTTGGGTGATATCTTTATGGACACCTTGTATGCGGTGGGTTTATTTTAAATATTTATATGAATGTTGAATTCGTTGTGGGAGTAAAATAGCGCTGCAATGCACGTTAAAACAAAAAAAAAATCTCTAACGTGGTTACATTTATTTTTAAGCTAGAAACATGAATGTACCTTTCCTGCCTTTCAAATAGCTGGTGAGCTCGACCCTGATTAACTTTGGATGTTACTGGGTGCATTCATGTTGTAGGCAAATGGTTTTTAAATGTTAATTCAAATTATTGTATACTGTATCTCAAAAACCGTAGTTACATGTCAACAAAAGCAGGACATTTGGCATGTTTAATGCGTTGCTTTTACCTAGGTTTAGTTGCTATATTGAGTAGTGGTGGCCAGTACACCAAGTGCTGTGATCCGTTTTGGTGAATCTCAACGGATTCTGCGATCCACCAGAGCTACGACCAACCATCATCCAGATTTCACCCTGTGATATACAAATACCCAAAAACATCTATTTGATAGTACTTTTTTTAATGGATCAAGTTTTATTCAGGGGTGTTTTATTTTGCTATTGACCGTAGCAGAATAATATCTATGGGACCCCTTTTGCCAGTATCAAAATATTGAGTAATAAATAGGGTCCTATAGATATAACTGCTAATCCCGAGCTATTAAGGCAATTGGCGTTTGCATTATCCGGATACTGTTCGCCTTTTCGTGGCCTTTGGCCGAGCACTGGCGAGAACAAAGCAATGTTAGGAGGCTCTCTGGTGTAGGCCAATTCGGTAATTAATATATTCATTATCAAAGTATATTTGTTTCCATTTTTACCACAAGTATATGCGGTGACTGCAGACTTAGGTGTCTATTTGATGTTTAAACAATTTTACACACGTATGTATGCCAGAAAGGGTAAAACCTTTTTTTATTAGTATAGTGACAAACACGTTTGTTGCTTATGTTAGTGTTCTTATTTGTCCTGAGATCCGCAAAAGTTCGCGTATTGACCACCGTTGCCGTAGAGAAAGTATATTTAACTTGCAGTTGATAGTATTAGGGCAGGGCAATAATTGATTGAGTTGTCTTAATTGTTGCTAGCCCGATGCATATGTGTAGAAGTCGAGGTGTTGATGCTATTTTATGTTGGCACCGTTGTTTGAACGAGAGAACCCGGTCATACACTGAAACGTGCATCAGCATGGCATACACAATGGCATTTAAACGAAAATTAAAAGTCTGATGTACGGTATTATCTTGTCGACTTAACATGCCTTTCGTGAAGCTTTACTTTTTCCGTTTCTCGTTTCATAACAAAAACCACAAGGGCTACCATTTTTTGGAATTGTGTCTGTCTTTATTTAACTCCTAGAATTCATTCCCGATTGCTCCCAATAAAGATTACTACGACAATTTACTGGTGTATGCAGTCAGCTGACTACTGTACTTCGATAATTACACTTGCCTGAAGTCTGAGAAGAGTTCGTGTATGCTTTTTCGATACTTGGTAAGCTAATTTATGGCTGAAAATTGTTTCAAAAAGGTATCCGTATTTCAGTCATGTTGATTTATTTTTAAAAGATGAGCCTATTCAAATAAAAATATACTGTAATTCGGTATTTGAGGCCAGTAATCTATTGCATAAAACATCAGTTAAAGTTTCCCCATACTTTGCAATGTAATAGTTGTGAACTGGGGGGGGGGAGAGTAGGAATAGTATGGAACTGGCTACAGACCGCGAATAATTATCAATACTCAGGATGGGCTGGCTTCACAGAAAATTGAGCAGGCATTGCTGAGAATCACGGGTTAGTATCTGGGCAGCCACTTGTGATTAAATCAGTATCTCCACTGTCAGGAAACCATATTACGTTTGGTTTTTCAAATTTGGTTATTGAGATTACACTAACAAAAAACGTTTTTTGTTCCTGGGTAGTGTTATTTTCTGATTGCTTATGCCTCAAAAGGACATAAAAATGGCTTATTCCCCACAAACCTTGCTTTTGTGACCAGGACACAAAATCAAAGTTAATAATCCACCCCATGAATAACACTAACAAAAATGTTACTGGGTAGTAAGTGTTATTTCCTAATTGCTTATGCCTCAAAAGTATATAAAATGGCTATTCCCCACAAACGTTGCTTTTGTGACCAGGACAGTGATATTTTGAAATGTACCTATTTTTAATGAGAAAACGCGTGCATGTGTCATTCCTTCCCATTTAGTCCTGGTCAAAAGCAAAGTTTGTGGGGAATAATAGCCATTTTCTATAATTGAGGCATAAGAAATTAGAAAAAAACACTTTTTTAATTCATTGGATTGGCACGTCAAGAACACTTTGCAGGGCATCTAAAATATATACCTCTACTGTGGATAAAGAAGTGATTTCAAACTTAATTCTATGATCCCATCTCTAATCTTATCTGATATAGGATGGTCACTGCTGACGGTGAACAATTTCCTTTCCTCACGACATGATTCTAATAACAATTGTAATAACCGTGCACCTCTGCGAACAAGCAGCGAAACGTGCTACTGCTTGGCAACTGAATGGCGCCCCCAGTACAAAAAAACCTAATTGGCTGTGTCGGGTGGTGGCGGGTTTAACGACATCTATATTTACGCGATTCAACAAAAAAAACAACTATACTGGACACAAAAAAAGTTTAAACTAATTTCAAACTCGAAGTGAATGTTTAAAAAAGTGTTAAACATTCTCTCTCCGCCATAAAAAGTAGCCAATTTTAGCCGTGCTTTAGAATCGACTTGAGAGTTTAGTCGATGTTAATGTGAAGCGGGATGTTTTAGTTATCAATATAGGGAGTTTTGTCGTTTCAGGCCGGGTCGGTTTCCCACCGGCTGCTTGTAAATCCCCACCCACAACCAGCCACGTGGCGGCGTGGCCTCGGGCGATCTCGGTGATGCCGAGGCGGCGAGAGAGTCCACGGAGGAGAAGTGAAGACCAACGCAAGCGTCACTGCCAAAAAATACATCTCACTTAATAGCCACACCCCTACCCCATGCGCTCGATGAAGATCGCGGCCAAGAAAAGCGAGGCATAAGTGGGTACAGGTTCCACGCAAATGGGCTGCCACACGGGACTTGTTATACGTGCATCTCTTCCCCTCATGTTTCTTGCATTTCTCGCGGGTGAACACATTCTGAACCATGCACCAATTAAGGACATTGGTTTCTTTAGGCCACGTTGGATGGATTTTTTTATGATCAAGTTCAGCCGTCCCTCAGCACTCCAACCTGGGCTACCTCTCGTCCATCTTTGAAATTTGTCATGTAGACAAGTGGCCACAAAAGCCTCTTCTACTGAAACTGCTGTACGGAGCAAAGGATGGCCCCTTGGCAAACGTCTTCCAGCATCTCCAAAACTCTCCTCGCCAGTCGTTTTCCTGGTCCCACCTTCTCATAAGCTCAAGAAACCTCACGACGGAGCTGCACTGGTTGCCAAATGCGCGAGCTTTCAGTTCAGGGCGGCCACTACTCACTTTTAAAGCAACGACAACCCTGTCGACCAACTTAGCTGAGCAATGCCATCCACCCATATGTACCAACACGAAATCTGCTGTCACCTGGGTCAGGACAGCAGAAACTGAGTTTTTTCCATCTGTAGCACCAGTGGTCTGGAACAGTGAGGCCAACTGAAGTACACTCAGCCGTGACAATCGACACTTTCAAGACTGGACTAAACACATTTATTCTCTTCGGGTTAGATTAAATTAGAATGTTTTCAGTACCATCCGTGCTTCAAGTTTTTTTGTGTGCTAAATATGGCATTACAAATCTATGATTGATTGATCGCCGTTCACCTTCAATACATGGCCTTGCCCAAGTATACATCGCTGTGTTTTCCATGACAAAGTTCACTGGGCATCCACAGAACACGAGAGAGATGGACTCGAAACATAAAGCAAACACAAAGTAAACGAAGTATCAACATCACATTAATCAGCACGCACATAATGAAATAAAGGCATGACATGTACTGTATTGCGTTGTTACGTGGGACAAACTTTATTAGAACCTTTTCAACAAGTACACAAGTGCAACAATGACAAAATAAATGCAAGATGCGTATCAGGCTGTGTTCACAATGCACACAAGCAGCTGTCGTACACATGCAATAAACAAATTAAAATAAACCCTGATACAGGTTCCTTCACCACTCCTTCGTCTCAGTAGAAACACCTCACCCCCCCCCCCCCAGCACACAGAAGGCAGTTTAATTTCTCTATACAAACCCGAGGCCAGAAAGGACGACACTTGTGAAACACTCGATGTAGAGCAGCCAAGTATTTGAGATTGTGCTATTTTTTTCATTAAGCTGTGACGACATTTAATGGTATATCAGTGGTGGTGATACGGAACATGAGGTTTGTGCATAAGGCATGATCTCAAATATCGGCATGCAGCAATTGAGTGATAATTTCTTTCATGTTTTATGGAAAAGTGGCCACATTGTCCACGCCGCTCAACTTCTGCCTCTGCAACTCATGAAGAGCAATCAGCTTTTACCCATTTTGGAAATAAGCTCATCGCAGATCCTCGTCAGTTCTTCTTTATCGTGAATCTGAAAGAGAAATTGCATCAATTTAGAGTTACAATTGAATAAGCTCATGAGCAAAGAGATACCTAGTATCATAGAATAGTCTGAGCCTCTGATGTAGTCAAATAGTTCTCCTGGATAATTTCTTGAGACGGAACATCTCTTTTGGAAGGGATGTGCACTGTGCCAATGGACACATTGCAAGCACGTAATGCCACGTATACAAATAGTTTAAATCTATAACCTACGGGATGCATTTATATAATGAACATCGCACCCAGTTAAACACATTAAATGCATAAATAATCACAGACTTATTTAAATAGATACTAACTCTATGCAGATTTTTTTCAAGTACCATGAGTCTTAGCCATACTTCTTACCCATTTACTAAGGTATTATAATTTAAAGCTTTCGTGACTGCAGGGATTCATATTCTTGGTTCTTTCGGTAAAGTAAAATAATAAAAATATAAAACAATAAAATTCTCACGACGTTTCGACTGCAACACAAGCAATCATCAGGTGCGAAAACCACAGCAAGAAAATTTGAAAAAAGTGGCGGTTATTTTTAACGTTAGCACCACGGAGAGCAATTTGGCAGCTATTCAGATGGATGAGTCCATCTATGTTTGGAAAAGAGGAGGGGGGAGACGAAGAGAATGGAATGCGGTATTGCTGTGGTTTTCACACTTGATGATGATTGTTTGTGTTGCAGTCGAAACGTCGTGATAATTTTATTGTTTTATATTTTTATTATTTTATTGTTTCCCTTCCACGTGACTTTACCGAAAAAACTAAGTATATAAGGTATTATACTTAAAAGATTAACATGATTTGTACACAGATCTTAAACGATAGTGATCGCTTAAGTTACAAAACAAAAAACACATTCAAATTGAGTCTGTGCTAAATACACTTTAATTCTGAAATGTAATCTTTTAGCTTCCACAAATTCTTCAAGATTTAATTGGGGTATGGAAAAGGTTAGTGATGTCAGGACAAACACATGTCAAGTGATTTAGCTGTAAATTTGTTTTCCCACGGATACAAAAAATATAAAAATTTGGCACATCATATGGCTAACAAGGTCTCAGAGGGGAACGTTCTAAATGTGGTTGTGAGACTCATTCTTAAACTTACTGGTGACCTTAAGGAATAATAATTGGCACATTAAACACTCGTACACAATTTAATTAGTTTGGCTATGTTGGGTGGTGGAAGGTGCCTAAGATGATTGTGGCTGGACGAAAAAAATCTTATTGCGAGCCATAATATTTGGTTGTAAAAACGTACGTGTTATGGTCTCAGAGCTTTGCAAATGTGCCTCTGTAGTAGCATGCAAACAACTACAGCCCCATTTGGAATAGAACACCTGTGTCTAAGAACTGTAGTAATAAAGTCACACGACTTACCTTTTGCTTCAAGCTGACCTCTAGGGACTGCACCTTCATCTGCTCTTTGCGCAGGCTGGCGTCCAACGCCAGGCACTCTGTGCGCGCCTTGTTGCGCACGTGAGCTATATCCTCATTCGCCCTGCAAGGCAATGAGGGCAGTCCGTTAAAAAAAGCCTCGCAACAAAGACATAGCCACGGGAAGGGAAGTCACAGACGCAGGGTCACGGATGAGAGGAGCGACCACTGCATGCAGTAGAGTGTGCCGCTGTGTAAACACGGCAAGGCGTAGCAGTGTAGTACGGTGTGGCTGGTAGAAAGATTTATTGTGGCGAGGGCATTATAGCATAGTGTGGGCTATGTAATAAGGGGTAGCAATGCGGTATGGTATCGTGTTGCTGTAGCGTCTTTGTGCATGGCAGTACTTGTTGATCTTCTCCTCGGCATGGGCCTTGAGCGCCTGGTACTTTTGCTCCTCCTTCTTGAGACGGATCTGGGCGTCGTGAGCATACTTTTTCAGCACTTCCTCATTCTAAACATGGAGGGAGAGAGTGTGGGCAGAATGTGAAGGGAGACTCGGAGCAGGGTTGGAATGGTGGAGAGGGAGACTGTCTCAATTGACAACACTTCAAAGTGGTGAACATAACAATTTAAAGGAGAACCTGAGTGGTATTTTAAATAGGTCAACCACGCAGACAACAAGAAGACATGACAATATAATTAGGCTCTGGTAAAACAATGCAATCCCCAGGTCACATGCACCAAGTGCCCTTGACAGGCAATCGTTGTTGCTGAATATTTAATTGAGCACTGTACTGAATAATTGAAATCCGAGTATGCGAGTGTGATCTGTAGGAAATTGGCCGACCTACTGACGAGTTGTTGGAAGTTTAGTTGCTGCAAACAGCCTGCGAATGTGGTCTCCCAGACCAGGCAATGGAACATATAACAATGCACTGCCCTGAACACAAGTTGGTAGGAGGCACATCAAAACTACAAAACACTCAGGATGATGCAATTCAGCAGTTACATACCTCAAATTGACCATCTAATTCAGTGGTTCTTAACCGGGGGTGCACGCACCCCCTGGGGGTGCGAGATGCACATTTCTGGGAGTGCGAGACATGGCCAGATTTTTGTTTAGAAGGTAAATAATCAAAACACGAATTAAGCACGGGCACGTAAGTACAACTACTTTGTTTCATCAAACCTAAGTATTAACATTATAGATTTTTAACGATTGAGAACCGAAGTTGTGTAAGGCTATAATAAATGTTAAGAAACACTGATCTAATGGTTGCTCTATGTCAGTCATGTGAAGTGGTAGAAGTAGTCGTAGTTGCTGGCTAATTGAGCATTGAACCAACTTCCCCCTTCACCTTTCAATAGATTTGCAGTCAATGCCACTGGTTGTTTTTTTTTTCCCTTCCCACAAATATTGAAATTATAGTGATAATATAGACAATGAAAACTATAATTTGCAACCAAAAACAATTAATTCAGGAAACATCTTCCCAAACCATAATCTGGAATAACCAATTCAGGCTGGAAAATGGAAGCAAAAATAATAAAAAAATTATCTTAAATCTACAAACACAAGAACAACTAATTGTGTGCATTATCTGAATTAAGTTTGCAACAGACCACTATCTGCAATTAAACATGACATTGCAATAAAATTGTACAGAATAAAGGCATTGAGAAAAGCTAAATTTAAACGTGACACGTTCAAATTGCTGGAGCAAAATTGTACCTGTGAGAGGCCGTATAGCAAATTGGCCGCCGACCTATTTGCGAGCGGGGTGGGGGGGGGGGGGACAATTCTGACCTGCTTGAAGCCTTCCATGACCTTCTTCATCTTCTCGTAGCGCTTAAAGAGCTCCGAGAGAGACTTCTCCACCGAGTTCAGGTCCGCGAGTGCCTGATCCTTCTCGCTCGTCAGCTGCTGCACAGTGCGCTCAAACGCCGCCTTGCCCCGCTGCTCGTCATCTGCAAAAGAGGCCACACACGTGGCCATCGTTAAGGCTTACGACTTGGTAGTGAGGCCACGCGGGTCACAGACTTTGCTCATTGTAAGTCTGAAATCTTGGAAATTGCTGTGGGAGTGCATTAGATGAGGCACCTTTCCTTTGTTTTGTTTCAAGAATGCAAACAAATGGACAAAATTCCTCAAATTTGCCACCTGACATTATGTTTTATATAAAAAAAATGGTTATGTAAATGGTTTTGTAACATATATTTATTGATAATAAAATTAAAGACAATTTTAAGGCGGAGCACCGCCTTGCCTAAACTATTACATTTCGATGAAGTGTTATTTTTTCCACACCTCAGCCATGAACTTTACTTAAAGTTACGGTGCCAAAAGCAGCCTTAGTCGTCAGCACCACGTTAGACACAATAACACATAGGGCCCAAACTATTTTATGACAGCAATGATGGCAAGAGCAGAATAAGAAAGACATTACTGACAGGAACAAACCCGTAATAGCTAATGCACTATTCTTTGGTTCTTTCGGTGAAATCCCGTAGATAAAAAAATTATAAAATTTAACTAGAATTTTTTTTTATAAAAAACAAAAATTCACGACGTTTCGATCGCAACACAAGCGGTCGTCATCAGGCGGAGAGAAGCTGCACTAGTTAAGCCACAGGTTGTGTTGCCACTACGTAGGTTTCCGTGGTTGCGTTGTATAGCTCTGATGTATTGTCAGTTTCTTTGGCATTTTGTTTCACGTTTTGCTTTGTGCTGGAAGCTTCTTGAGAATAGAGCTACAAAAGTGAAATTCATGTTGGGTCTTCTGATTATATATTTTTAGACAAATGCTGTTATTCTGTGCCGATGCTCGGTCACATCCACTGTCCTCAGATATAATTACACCACCTTTAATTTCATCCTCCGTGTCTACTCCCTTCTGCCCTGCACTCGTAGCATCTCTATAGGCCTTAAAAAAATTGTATTGTCTTTTCTGCTTCTCAATACATGCTGCACTAGCACTTTAGAATGTCATTAACACAGCCCCACTGTAATTAGTTACGACAATGAAGTTTTACACACACATAGACTTCTCAAATCACAAGATGCATGCCAATTACTTCCTGGGGGGAAGAGAGTCTCAGCACATTATGGGCCTCACCTGCAGCTATGCACAGTGTGCTTACCGATGGGCCATCACTACCCCTTTAATAGTAATTACATCTTGGCAACACTTGTCACAGTTCAAGGGGTGCTGACGGGGCTCCCGAAAATTGTTTTATCGTAGGAAGGTAATGACATGCAATAGAATATTGGTGTATTTAAATATATCACGAAGTTTGTGTTACGTTTCCCAACCAGTCAATTATAATATGTATTTTTGGGCATGCAGGTGCAGATAAGTGAAACGCCATACATGGCTTCGAATGCTCTAACAATCTTGTGTTCACATCCTATAGATGATTCTCTTATCCATTACAGCTTCAAGTGTTGTTTGATCCTGGCCACTCAGTGTTTTGGGTCCTTTCAGCTGGTGCTTAACACCATGCTTTGAAAATACTGTATGCAGCCTATGTTCTAAACCACTCAACGGTTATATTAATGTATCTGTGTTGCAGGTTTCTCTTCAAATAGAAGCATAATTTACATATGAATAGACTACTGGTTGCAATGTAAAACTGGAATCGGGCTTTTCAAAGGGAATGGAGTTTGGAAATCTATTGATTGTGTAACAATAATCCAACCATTTCATTTGTAAACGTTAACCACACTGCTATTATGAAAATAACTAAAGATGAATTAAATCTATATATTTCCAGAACAGTTTCCCATCCAAATTTGACTGCAATGTGACTGCAAATAATTATGCATTATATTTCAATCCGAAAGCTGCCTGGAAACTGCTAGTAAGAGATCCAAGTTTCATGTACAAATTTAAAATATAAATAAAAATAAAATAAAAACTTACCCATCATCTGCGCCATCGCCACTTCATACTCCTTAAGGAGCTTTCTGAAAGACACAGGAATTGGAAATGTTAACCATTTGCAAATGTATGCACCTGTTAAAATTATTCCAGCATTCAATTTGAAATTAAGCTAAGACTGGAGGTCCCTCACCTCATCGCCTCCAGCTTCTCCTCTGCTTCTCTGCATTTCTCTTTCCACACGGTTGCTTCCTGATCCACAGTAACATTCTACGGAAAACATGAGCTTCATTTAGAATACATTTCCCAGCGGAGGCCAAACTGATGCTTCCATTTAACATGCATTTCTTGTTGCGTGCAGAAGAGCAGCACAACATAATGTGGATTCTGTATATCAACTTTGTGAGCAACACCAAATGGAGAAAAAAAACCACAATTGTAATTGTGCTCGTGTATCACATCAATTATATAACCAGTGACACTGTTCACAGATACCACACAGATTACCTCTTTCAGTCAGGCTTAAACTATAGCCAAGTCATGCTGACACTGCTGAAATGAATAGACTGTACTTATATACGCAGCTATACAAAAACATGAATGGTTCGACCAATATACATTTTCCAAATCAAACACCAAACTGGTCTGCATATTTTACTCACGTTAGGCAGGTGTTTATCACACATATCCGGTACAAATGTTGTATAATTTTATATTTGAATGCAGGCTAGGGGTGGAACAGTGAGACCAGTGGTTAGCGAGCTGCACTACGAACCCAGCACTGGGCCGCAATTCGATTCCTGGCCACGGCTGACATCGTGATGTATCTGCCTGTTACCAACCTAGACAGACCACGGGGCGTGGTGACGTTTGGTCCAACATCCCCCACGGCCGACGTGGCGCCACGGGGGGAAGCATTAATTCAGCAGTGGATTAACAAAGGGCTGTCGATGTTGGCGGGGAAGCATTAAATCCAGCACTGGATTAACAAAGGGCTGTCCATGTTATTTCAAATGGAAAGTATGGCTTTTGTGCGGTGGTCCACGGGCAGGCGTGTGCCACCACCTTGTCCCTGGCTGCCTTGAGTGCCGTGTCCATGTCGCGCTGGCTGTACTTGAGGACCTCCACGATCGTGTCACCGTCCAGAGCGGCGGGCGTGCTCGCTACCCTCTCCAGACACTGCCAGGTCAATTAAAAAAAACGCAAGAGCGGTAATAACGGATCAATACTGTGCATTGCAAATGGCAATCACAACAGAAGTTAAATGGCACAAGGCAAGTACAGTGGATACACAAGATATTGCTGCCTCGTTATACACTTGGCTCAAGTGAAGGTCGACACGGGCATTGTGTTATTCAAAGCATGCCTGGCTCGCTGCATTGTGGGAAACGCACATCGTGGAAAAAAACGAATAAAAAGATACAACGGTGCCAATGTTGTGACTCGCGATGTTTAAACTGACGACGAGTCACATGCCTTGATGAAGAACAAAAACGTGTTAGTGAATGTGGTGCTCTATAGCTTGTGTTAAAAACACACCATCAAATCTATGGACAGCCAAACATGCCCATTCACCTCACCACATCTTTATAAACCAACCAAGATAGTTTAAACAAAACTCACGTTTAACAACGGTTTACTGAAGCTACCTTAAAAATGGCACGAAATCAATTACTGCAATCGTAAATTAAGGTTATCATCATTGGTAACGTTTAGTGCAGTTTTACCAAGAAAACAACACTCAAAAGCATGGTCAGAGTTGCAATGTAGGTTTGGCACAAGACAGATAACATCACAATGGTGCGAGATCCTTAACAAAGCTCACCTGTAACACCTTATCAGGTGATACGGAGAGCAGATCCACCTTCGCTGTAGCGATTGCACCGGCCACACTTTGTCCGGATTCCGCAGCCTCTTCACTGGGCCTGCGTAACACACACGTACAGACACCGAGCTTCAGTGAAAGACCTCCTGGGCAGGTGGCACCCATTCACGCAATGTTTTATCTGTTTGTTAGTTAAGTTTCCTTTTTAAGGTTAGACTGTCATCGTTTTGTTGTTCGAAAAGTCGACACAATGTTATCTGTTTGAAAAGAAAAGTGCACTGCAAACACACCACCATACCTAATACTACCAACGTGACTAATTCACGTAGCAACAACAAAATAAATATAATCAGCAACAGCAGCAGCCCACCTCGTGGAGAAGAAACAGGCACAGGTGATGGACGCTGCATTGAAATCAGATAGCAGTGGACGACCAGGATCACCGTGAAACTTTTAATTCCATCGGTGGAACAACACCACCGGATGAGCGTTATGATACACTGTAGTTTTTGGAGCTTGGCAGCAAAGCACGAACGGCAGAGCTGAGCTATAGGACCACACCCAATCACCCCGCATGGAGCCACAATTCTCAAATTGCACCCCAGGTGCATTCCATACCTGTGGTTGCAGCATTAAAACTAACAATCGTAGTTCAGTTACACTGAAATAATACTCCTTGCATAACGGCCCATTTTACATTGTAGGTTTGACACTCGAATTATATCATGAGGCTGGACATGCACAGTTTTATCTAATGAGCGCCCGCCGAGGGTAATCGAATTCCATTGTGTAGCAAAATACTGCAGGGAACTTTATCAGATGTCACAATTTTTTTTAAAAAGGGAGTTAACTGACACATGGAGCCAATTAATATTCACACAGAGTGCCAAGTCTTCTTTCGGAGTAAATGTGGTGGACAAGAAGAGTACAATGAGTGTAAAGTTAATCAACTGTATACAATTACTGTGCTGCACTGTGGCAGTAAAAAGGTACTGCACATGTCCGTGACAGATTTCTACTTCTATGGACCTCATCTATGGACCTCACTCACAAACAATTAATGTATTTAAAAATCACATTGTCAGACAAATTGTGTTGTTTTTACATTTAATTAATTGGTATGGCTTTTATTATCATCATCATTATTTAGTCAACAATCTCTCCTGTTTTAAAAGTTATATATTTTTTCCTGTTGTAGTCTTGCGGGTTTATTACCGTTTATGGATTGTAAATAGCCTTCAGACAACTTGCGATTAAAGGTGCTCTATAAACTTGCTACATGATTACTATTGCCATTGTTCAATGTTGGGGAGATTGTTCGACGACGACTCTATAATGGGTGGAGTTCACTGCACAATGACATCATGGCTTGGAACATGTTTTGATTGCCTCATTCAGATGACCTCATGTCTATAACACGTGACAACGCCAAGTATCGATTCATAGCGTAACAGCACTTTTTTTGTTACAGTGTTGGTGCGTGTGTATTTCATGAGAAACCTTCGGTGGTGTAGTTAAAGTTCATTATCCAACAAAATGTACATGGGCACACAAGTGGTGAAAGTAAGAGGGGGAGGGTATAAAACAATGTGCATACAAGCACTTTTTTTCCACAGCGTCGGGATTCCAAAGAGTTGCGCACGCTCCAACGGGCCACGGGGTGATGGAGTATTGCTTGTTACGGCACATTTTATTCAACTGCAAAATGAGATGTTGTCACAAAGTGTAATGTGTTGTGGTACACACCCCCCATAACGTCAAGGTCACCTTTCCAATACGCAATAATCCACGGAACCCATAATGACAACAAACCTGCGTGTGCTGAAGACAACAAGCCTACATTATGGGACCCTTGTGGCAAAGCAAATAAAAACATTAAAACGAAACTATTTTTGTTTTACCAGCTAAGGCCCACTGAGCGATGTCGATCTTTTTTCAGAAGGGACCTGCCCACAAATGATAGCTCAACAAAGTGGCTTTACGCACAGAAATGTATAGCAGCCGAATACTCTAAACGTACGTTGATTCTAAATGTGGAGGGTAAAACTGGAGGACCTGGTAAATAATCCAAGCGACCACGGGGATAGAGAGAGACACGCAAACTCCAAATATACAACAGGTGTCAGACGAGGAAGTGAACATCTCGCCACCGTGGCACCCCGCATTATAAAAGCACACACAGAGAATGGACAGTACGGTGCACCAAGGGCAGTCCCTGTTTCTTCTCGAGCAGAGAGAGAGGGGGGGCACAGAAACCTGCCTGTCATTCTGCCGCCTCTTGGTGACCGGACGAGGTAAGGCCTTGGGGTCGTCTGCCAGCAGTGGGTCAAACTTCACGAAGAGCGATTGCTTCCTCAAGTCCGACTCTGTGAAGCCACTCTGCACAGCGCAACAAACAAAACGAACCCAAGACAAAAACGGATTAATAACAAACTTGGTGGAATCAAACAGCAGCTAGGAACGATGTGTCCGTGTGGGTGTGTGCGATAGTGTTCACGCAGCCTGCTGGGTGAATGACTGTGGGAGCCGGATGATGACACGCGGCTGGTGCCAGAATTAGTGACCGCAGTGCAGTGCTCACATCAATGTGTTGTAAGGATATAATTGGTTTAATTAAAAGTGGATTTTTAAGATTTGTCTGAATGTAAACAACTTAGAACATGTATGGCTATAATATGCACATGTTGTACTCCAGCATCTTGAGATACTGCTGGATTCAGATGCTATGTAAATAAAATAATTCAAATTTGCGTAAACTGCTTAACAAGTTATACTAAACACTAAACTTACCAAAAAACAACACGCTCCAAACACACCAATGCTTCATAGTAAGATTTATTTTTCAACGAATTTGAACTAGCAACAGGTCTTGCTTAACTACATTAAAAAGTATTTTTATTATTTTATTGTTTCCCTTCTACGTGACTTTACCGAAAGAACCAAGAATATGAATCCCTGCAGTCACGAAAGCTTTAAATAAAACTTTACATTAAAAAGTACTATTCTTTACCTCATTTAGCCCTAACCAGTGTAATTTGTAACACCAGACGGCGGCACTCTCTCTCCAAACATGACTCACAACACACGGGGGGGGGGGGGGGCTTTAGAGCAGATTTCTTTTTGAACAGATGACGTAATTGTACACAAAAATCACCATGATCTTACAGAGCCAAACTGCCGCAGCTGGCGTGAGCAATAAATCAGACGTTCAACCGACTGCACATTGTAACGCCCGATCACGTCTCAAGCCTCACACCAAGCCTCACACCGATCTGTTTGCAGTCCGATCTGGCCGTGTGCCGTGTTTGGGCGAATTACCATTCCGAACTGCTCCAGGTAGTCAATCTCCAGCATCTGGCCTCCGCTTGGCATGGCTGGGGCGCCCGATGCCTCTGCTCGTTTGCCTGCTAGCGAGCCGCATGGCGGGAGGGGGGGGGGGCAGGGGAAAGGCACACGAGACTCACGGACCTGGCAGCAGACGCGGGTACTGCCAGGAATCTCCAAGCAAGCAGAGTCACCGGTTCCGAGCGTCCCATGAACATGAACAAGTTTAGGGGCCATCATATGAGTGACGTGCACGATTACCCTGAAGAGTGAAATCAAGGGCTCCTGTTGTACTTTTTTTTCATGTGTTGACAAAATAACGTCATTGAGACACATTTGAAAAGCCTCGGCACCAAACCGTCCCTGTATTCAGGCACATTTTTTTGTGCCAAGACGACACTCATGCCAACACTTGTCAATAATTAACCATCGGTGAAACATCCGCAAACATTTGTCACAGAGCGGTACAACTCAAATAATTAAATGATACAATTTAAACATCAAAAGCTGCGCAAAACAAATGCAAATTATTTTTTTTGCTGGAGGGAGGGAAGTGACCTAAGTGCAATTAAGAACAAGTTGCCACTATTAAGGGTACCCGTGTATTTAGCGATGATAAATGAGATTCACTGTTGACTTGGGTCCAAAAGGTCTAAAAGCAAACTAGTGAGCCATTAAAAAACTTCTGCTCCCGAGTGTAGCTCAATGAACATTTCGCTGCACTAGACATGCACTCATCGCTGCATACAAGACATACACATTACTTTTCTAATGAACATCAAAGCTCAGAGTCCACTTATTAAATTCCATGGCCAAGAGCTTGTTTCAGGTTTCTAGACAGTACCTCCAACAATCAGCTCCCCTCGCTGCAAACTTAGCAGTTAACATTTACACAATGGCACATGCAGAACTTGTATTCTGCAAGCTCAATAAAAGTTACGCAGCTTTTCAAATTAAGCAAGGCCAATTTGTGCATTACTTAGTAATCCGATGCTTTTTGTCAAATATTAATATTAGTATTAATAATGCTGAGTCAAAATGGAACACTGCAATATAAACAACATTTATTCTTCATGACAATCACTTACAACCCTTTGACAATTCACTGCTGGATGAAGGCCTTCCTTCCCACAACTTGCCAGTCATGGGAGTTGATTGACCATACTTCACCAAGAGGGTCAAGATGGATTGGGGAAAGGTGGGAGACGGAGGAACGGATCAGATGTTACTCGCTACCGATGCCAGCTATGGCCATGACTAAAGCAGAGAGGTCGCTGGAATTATAAGCAAAGTGGGTGAACCACTGCTGCATGGCTCACCCCATCATAACAATAATTACTTAGAGAAAACCTGACACTTCTTATTGCGCTTCTTGAGGCGGGTCCTGCTTAGAATGTCTGACCAATTACTTTGAGTGTTAAAACACGTGACGTGAAACGGAAGTTTCCTGAAATAAGAGATGAGCCATTATCCGGAGACGGTAACAATCCAAGGATTGTTGACCTTTAAGGATGGCCGCAACTTTGGGAGAGAGCCTTCATCCAGCAGCTATTGCTCATGAACAATCAAAACCCATTATACACACTCCTTACCCTGCCTCGTTGCACCACCTCCCTCTAAGCACGACTCTTTCCCACACGCTAAAACAAAACATCAAGCCAAAAAAGCTTTTCGGGTGAGGGCAGCGGGGGCAGTACCAGGAGCCGGCGACAAATTTCCGTTTCTCGCGGCGCACAAGACGGCCTCGTCCTGCCGGGCGGCGTCCGGTGCCCCCGGCGTGGTCTCTGCCGAATGACCATCGAGCGAGAAGGCCGTGGCATTGGCAGCGGTGGCCGACGACGCGCGTTGCATTTTCTCTTCGTCTGTGGCGAGGGCTGCCATGGCTGCGTCGGCATCCAGGTCGAGGGCTGGGTCCTGTGGCCAGCAGCAGCAGCAGCAGAGAGTGGGGGTGTACAGTGGCACGATGTCGATGAGACGTGTTCACATGTGGGAGGCCATATGTGCAACGAAGTATCAACAACTGTGTTGGACGGTGCTCATCTCCAACTATAAGCGTTGAAGGAATGTCACGAAGCTATGGTTAAGGGCCAACCGCTATACCGCTGTACAACAACAACGCTGAATTATAATAAGTGTAGTATTTATCAAGCTGCAGAACAGTGGTTATTAGCATACTGGACTATAAAGGTTACAATCCGAGTTTAATTCCTGGCCGTGGCTAACAGCGGGGGCAAGTGATACGTAAACCGGTTTGGGGAACTGGACATGAATGTATGTAGCCAACCGTGTTATCAATAACCAGCATGGTGAAGTATGGCCAAAACAAACTCCATGGTGAACATGGTATTGAAATTCCTTAATCCTTAATAGTTTTCCATAAAATGTATTCACTATAGGCGGGGCTGTTTGTAGACGCAATGCCAATTCATTTTCATACATCAAAAATTGTAAACGAAATAAGAAAGGTGTGGGGAAAGTTTGTTCGTAGAATATATCAAGGCATATGAATTCAGTTTTCTAAAACAGTCTACAAAGTACAGCGATCCGTTCATAGCCAGCGCACTAAACGAAGCAATTAGAGAAAACAGCATTTCATCTAAAAACACCCTCTCTGTCTTCAACCAATCTTGATACAAATATTAAAGTCGTTTAACTCTCCCCAACGATAGGGACCCATAACATTCACGATATTCCATCTGTTGAGAAGTCAGGGGGGTCATTTGAAATGCGTGGTGTATCTACAGATGGTTCACCTCTTGCACATCTGGAAATCATCCTGGACACGTGATTAACAACCATGCCAGATACACGCCCCGAAACACAATATAATGTTCATCTGCACTGGAGCGTGTATTCTCTTTTGGATAAACATTCAAAACTCGCGCAGAAAATATATATACCTGGGCGTTGTCGGAGGTCGACGCGTTTCTGAACCGGTTCTTCACTCGGAATGTAGCTCTGCTGACACAGTAGAATTCATGAGCAGCACAAGGTACGCGCCCTCACTCACATCCTTCACCATCAACTATAACTGTCCCCTCATCTCCAAACCACTCTCCACACCCGTGCACTCTTTATCATGGGAAAGTGAGTATGCGTCTGTTTGACGGTCGATTTGAAGAGAAATAGTTTCGGACGATACTGTTGCCGAGGGCGAGGCTGTCCCCCCCGCCCCCTGCAGACAAACAAAACCGTCAAGATACTTGAACATAGAGTGGCACTGAACGGAACTTTACGACGAATAAACACACAGAATGGCATTGGTTGCGAGACAATGGCATGGTGACGAATACGACAACGCGCAGTTTCTTACAAAGCGTGCTGTGTGCACGAGTTAACTTAGTCAAAGGAAGATATCACGAAAGCAAAACGTCTTGTCTTATAAGACAAACTGCATAGCACTACATAAAGGCCTAACTTTCATATAGGCAAGCCCGTTGTGTTCTTCACGCGCAAGCCGGTTGCTCTAAGTTAATCATCAATTTATACTTTTGCCGATTAGGGCCTTTGATTTAGAACCACGAATGTTAATCGGTGCTGGAAAAAAAGCATGGGTGTCCTTTCAATGATGGCATTTTTCTCTTCGGTATAAACCGAGGAGGAACAAAAAAGTGAGCTGCTCCGATCAGTTCCTGAACAAGCCTTCCAGGACGTGGAGCGGAAAAAACATTGGACACCACCATGCCGAACAAAAATACGCGGAAACACATCAGCAGGAAACGGGTGCTCGTTTTGTGAACGATTTACTAAATTGAGAACCAAAAAAATATGGTAAGAAAAATACCTTCGCAATGCACACACTTTTATACGCATTGGGATCCCAGAATAGAATACGCATTATACATTTGGATTATTATTAAAAGTAGAAAATAAATGCTTTAGACCCTGGAATTAAACAAATGTTGAAGTGCTCAATAAAAGCAGGGTGGCTCGCATAAAGAAAATTCTACACATCGAAAGGAAACCACCTACTTTTTTGAGCGCATCAAATTTGATTAATTCCGGGTTCAAAATACTGTAATGCATTTTCTACTTTTGAGTGCAAATAAAAGTATGCATGCATTGAAATCTTGTTTGCTTATTACCTAACAATAGTTTCTTATTCTTGGTTCTTTCGGTAAAGTCACGTTGAAGGGAAACAATAAAATAATAAAAATATAAAACAATAAAATTCTCACGACGTTTCGACTGCAGCACAAGCAATCATCATCAGGTGTGAAAACCACAGCAAGAAAATTTGAAAAAAGTGGAGGTTATTTTTAACGTTAGCACCATGGAGAGAGATTTGACAGTTTGTTCAGATGGACGGGTCCATCTATGTTCAGAAAAGAGGAGGGGGAGACGAAAATAATGGATGCGGTCTGAAAGCCACCGTAAGCGTGAACAATCAATTAAGACCCGAAATGGTTTATCAAATCTTTCCAATGATTGCTAAGCCAGAATCCATCTTCCTGGTTGAAATTGTCTCTGTGTTTGTATATGTGGATAGCCTCATGAACGAATCTCTCATGGTAGCCAGATGGCTTGCAAAGAACCTGTCTTGGCGAAGTCAATGTCATGTGAGCCTACTGAATTATAACAGTGATCTGCCACGGCCGAGGTGTTGGTCCTACCGTGTTTTAGGTCTGCTTTGTGTTCACGAATGCGGTCCGAGATATGTCGTTTTATTTCTCCAATGTAACTACTACCACAGAGGCAACTTAGTTTGTAGACACCAGGGTACTGTATTTCCGGAATCACATCTTTTACAGACGGAACCAGATCACGGATTTTATGTAATGTGTTGAATCGGACCTGGATCTTGTGTTCATTCAAGATTTTGGAGATCTTTTTTGTGATCCCCGCAATGTAGGGTAAAGTGATGGTTTTGAAAGGCTCCTCAAGAGGGTCCTTCTTCATGGTTGGAGTGACATCTTTGCAGATTGTGTAGTCGGAGTAACCATTAGCCTTAAGAGCTTGGTGTACGTGCTTGAGTTCACTGGCTATGTGTTCCTGGTCGGATATGCATTGGGCTCTATGGTGCAGAGTCTTGATGAGGGAATTCTTCTGGGATGGATGGTGGTGGGAATCCGGTTTCAGGTAAGCATCCGTATGGGTAGCTTTCCTATAGACAGAGTGGCTCATTGAACCATCAGGTCTCTTTTTTATTAGAACATCCAAAAAAGGAAGCTTGCCATCCTTTTCGACTTCCATGGTAAATCTGATGGCTGGGTGTATGGATAGATACTCTTAATGATTTTCTAAATCATCTCAATGCATAAAACCCGGCCATACAGTTCACCATGGAAATGGAGGTGAATAACACACTCCCGTTCCTAGATATTTTGCTTGGACATGGCCTAAACAGTAAAATAACACAGCGTTTACAGAAGGCAAATGCACACTGATGCCTATCTGAATGCAGATTCGCATCATCATCCAGCTCAGAAATCCTCTCTTATCAAGACACTCATACATCGGGCTAAAACAGTGTCAGATGGTGAAAGTCTGGTGAGAGAGATCAAACACGTTAAAGAAGCATTACGACAGAATGGCTACAATAATACTCAAATTAACAGAGCACTGAATGGCAAATCACGATCGCAAAGCAACACTGCTGAAAGCGATCAGATTGGTAAAACAATTAAAATTCCATATATCTCAGGAGTAACTGACAAATTAGCCCGTGTTTTGCAAAAGCAAAACATTACAGTAATATTTGATACAGTAGACAAAATTCAAAAACTAGTATCTTGAACTAAAGACGAATTACCTAAATTATCAACAGAAGGTGTATATCGGATTAATTATTTATGTGGCAGATGCTATATTGGACAGACGGGACGTAACATCAGCATAAGACTAAAAGAACACCAAAGAAATATTAAATTATCTCAAACACAACTGTCGGCAGTGGCAGAACATGCTTGTCAACAAGGACACTCAATTGATTTTAATAACTTTGAAGTGTTGTGTAAAACTATTACTGGCAAAGACTAATTAGAGAATCCATTGAAATTGAGAGAAATAAAAATAACTTTAATCGCTCTGATAGCTATAGGCTTAGTGCGGCTTGGAAGCGCATTATTAAATAATACATATTACAATTCCTTATAGGGGAAACACATACTAATTAACGGATTACTAACGTAGCATATATTCACAATAACATTACAACTCATTACTAATCATAACCATTGATTGATTACCAATCGATTATATAATTACTGCACCTGAATGAGTTAAATGATGACGTCACCCTGCTGCTCTATTTAAGACCAGGAGCAAGTGAGGGCTTTACCATTCTGGCGAATTGCCCGATGATGCTAAATGTAATTACCACCGAAACGTAGTATTCAAACTGTAAATGTTGTGGATTCACTGCAACACACCGGTGGGTTAAAGTAGTGAACTAATTGTTTTTTGTCAACGTGGCACTTTTTTTGCTGATTGGCCGTGTCAGGTGGTGGAGGGTTACGACACATTTATAAATAACACGATCTAACCCAAAAACCTTTATTATGAATAATATTGGTCGCGAAAGCCTACGTGTTAAACTGGGTGTATGGAATTGATGTGGTGGAAGAATTGGTCTAGAGCAGGCCGGCCATGTGGCCAGATGACAAAAGTGTCATCCATGTACCTCTTCCAAAAAGGTTGGGCGTAGAGTGGCAGTCTGGATGGCGTCAGTCTCAAATTTCTCCATGAAAATGTTGGTTCCAACCGGAGATAGGAGGGAGCCCCATTGGGGTGCCCTCTGTTTGTAGAAAGTTCCATTCCAAGTGAGAATTTTATTGTTTTACATTTTTATTATTTTGTTTCCCTTCTACGTGACTTTACCAAAAGAACCAAGAATATGAATCCCTGCAGTCACGAAAGCTTTAAATCAAAATTTAACAATAGTTTGTTGTGTACTTGTTGGTCTCTCGCTAAGGAAGAAGAGGGCAGTGCAGCGGCCGCTCCGGCGCCACAAGGAGCGGCGATAGAAGCACGCCTCTCATTGGTCATAGGCTGGCCAGCAACAGCCGCTGTTATTGGACCAGACGTTAACCGTCGTAGGTGGAAGCGACCATTTGTGATTTAAAAAAAGGGGGGGGGGGTGAAATGTACGATTATTAAGTAGTACATTTTATTTTAAAACATCAATAGGACCACAATGGGCAGGAACCTTGACTGTTTTTTTTGTAATTAAATCTTGAATTGTCACGCGAGCCGGCGAGTCTGCGTGTGTAGAAAATTTCAGCTCATTCGGCTTCGTAGATCCGAAGATATTAAGGGTCAAAGATTCCAAAGAATATAAACAGACAAACATGGCAAGTTCAATGAAAAAGTGTGCAGAAAAAAAACCCACCGAAAATTAACCCGCGGCCGAATCAATGGACTCACGATTTAATGACAGCTCTCTTCTTCTTCTTCTGCGAGCTCTTGGAGCTGCCGTCCTCGCCATCGCCCGACTCTGCCTCGCTGCCACCCCCCGCCACGTCTCCCCCGTCGGGGGACTCGCGGTGCAGGGGCACGCCGGGCAGCTTGGCGCTCGCCGCCAGCAAATCCGACGCGTCACAGTGGCCGCCCGTGTCGAAGGATTGCGTCGCCTTCATGGGCACGGGGGAGCCGGGTAACTGCGACGTTGTTGCAAACGGATTAAAATTGGAGTCCTCCAGTTTGCTGAAGTCCATCATGTAATTGCCCTTTATTTGAGGTCCATTGCCAGCGGTAATTAAATTGCTATCGGACTTCTGGTCGGCTGAGAATCTGGATGGCTTCTTTACTCCAAGTCGCGTGGCACTTTTTTCCGGCGATTTGTTTTTGCCTTTGGAGACGTCTCCACAGGGCTTCGCCGATCCCAGCGACGGCGAATACCCCGTCGACATGTCCTCCTCGCTGCCCTCTCTGGCCGCAGCAGACTCGCTCCCTTGCGACAACACCTCGTCTATCTCCTCGGTTCGCAGCGTGCCGTCAGATACGAGCGTTTCGGACTCTGTGGACTCGGACTGGGACTCGGCAGCTTCGACGCCGTTGAGCGGCTGGTCGCTCCGTGGCGTCTCGCTACCTTTGACGCAGGTGGCAGGAGGCTCGCAGTCCTGCTCCTGTGGACCGTCCAGGTTCAGGCGTGAGGGTTTGAGCGTCTCATCGGCCTGGTCCGTGTCGAAACACTCCGAGTCGGAGGGAAGCTCTTGGTCGCTCAAATCGCCGACTCGACCACCCCCGTCTTCCGAGTCATCGTCCAACGAAGGGTCTGAAAACGGCAGCGTCCACTCTCGTCATGCGACCCGCGAAACACCGAACTCTCCGCTCGTTTGCTCATTAACAAACAGCACGGACGTCACAGTGGTCACATTTCATTGACCGAGGATAATTACTGTACTGTATTGACATTGCACCGTAACCGATTTACCGATGGAAAATAAATTAACATTTCACGTAGAAAATGTAATAAAACACGTTAAACATTTTTTTCCCTTTTGCAGTCCAATAAACTGTGCAGTAGAAAACGCCAAGCGGCCAAAATTACTGTTGAAATTAAATAATCATTCTCAGATACACAGTACAGCTTTTTACAGTGCAACCTGAAAATAGTCTACCGTGGTAGAAAGGCAAAAAAGTTCATAAAAAGTTCCCTAAATGAGACCAGATTTGCAAACCGCGCAAAATATGTGGCCACCATTTGAGCCGAAGTCTCTGTAAACTACTGTAACAGCTGTTAAGTCAACTTTTGGCACACTTAGGATATTCGCTCAAACAACCATCACTGCATGCGTTAAGCAGCCATAAAAGCAGAGCACTGCACTGTCGTGACAATGCTCCCATTTTCACGTAAAACATTAATGTCACGCGCATACTTACCAGCAAAGTTACAACCCGATTGTTGTTTGGCATTACCCGAGCTCTGAAACAAAGCACCGTACCAAACTGCACCACCTCTCGCTACAAACAGAAGTTTTGCTCACACACAGCAGAAAGCTAAACAGGCCGAAGTTGGGCACTCCCACGACAAAAAAAGCACAAATGTGCACTGTACCCGTCACGCCGACCACACGAGACGGGGGAGGGGGGGAGAAACATCGTCAAGACTACGCAGGCACCACAATACGCGCAAAATCACGAGCCGAGTGGGACAACGGAACGGAAAGGGGTTAAACGTCGAAACAGCAGAGCGCAACACAAGGTGGTGAGAAGAAACAAAGACGACGGTGTGTGTGCTCGTGTGCGCGTGTACGTGTGTGTGCGCGTGTACGTGTGTGTGCTCGTGTGTGCTCGCGTGCTCGCAAAGTTACCCCGGAGCTGCTCCATCTTTACACTTTTACGAACGGCTCCGTGAGTGCATGCGCGCATCCACCACCGACTGACACGGGGATGTGACATCAGCCTCCGCGTGGCCTCGCATTTCTCGTTTGACAGTCGATTGTCCACTGCCTCCCACGCCCCCCCCACCACCCCGCGGCACTCAAACACAAACACAACACTGACCCGGCCCAGCCAGCCCAGCCAGCCCAGCCCCGGCTCCAAGAGGCGGCCAGCCGGAGCAATAAGGTCCGAGGGTGGAGGCGGGCGACACGCCCAGGAACAACGCCATGAATTATACACGCAGCGTGGCCTGCGCCGAATTAATGAAGCGTTACGCAATATTACAAATTATAAAAGCAGCGGAAAAACTCCCAACGGCTCCGTTATGGCAAACTTTATGATTACACGCTTTTATTTAACTCTGTTGTTGGATCCTCTAATCTTGTTACTCAATTTTTACCCACTTCCCAATGTGGTATCGACTGCAAACTTGGTAAACTTATGTCAAACTGATGATAATACTATATTCTATCATAAAAAAATAATTATAGATTTTTAAACATTCTCTTTTTTATATTGGCTTGGGTCTAATTGTCCACGCTCAACTGATGTTGGCTGTAATTGACCAAAGTCCCTTACGTTGTGGCAAGCCTCGGGGCCACTTCCTGGAGTCGTGGAGTTCTGCCATTACTAGTGCGGTACATTTCATTAAAGCGTGTTTTTAAAAAAGTTTTTAAATAGTTTGTGAGAGAAACACCTTTTTTGACATGTTTACATTACAAAAATAACAACAGGACATCCAATTATACGTTTTAATTGTTCTATAAACGCACCAAGAAGTGCGTTTACAGAATGGGACAACCACGTCATATTTTTGTTTTAATTGACAATTATTTAAATTGCACATCCGATTAAACGTGTTGTTTTATTTTTCATTGTTCCATAACCACACACAAAACACGCACACACACACCAATGGGCTTGGCGATATGGTCACCAACACGAGAAATCAAACCCGGTGCTTCATGGACCGTACGTTCCTGACGGCGTGGTTCATATTTCACAAACGCACAGCAGCAGCAGCAGCGCACAACATGAGGGGGGTGGGAGTCGCATTTCCTCGTGAGAGATCTCACGACGTGGATGGAAGTGGGCCCCAAACAGTGACCTTTCCGCTTACGACATGCTTCGCACTACCTCCGCCTGTTGCCCCAAGATACACACACACCTGGCCGGTTACCAATTACCCGAATCTCTCTGTACCTTCTGTAAAAAAAGAGATAACACGGCATTTCGCGTTGCCACGACCGACTTCTAACTGTTCCAAACTCGCTATCCACGCGTGCGGGTGTCAAAACAGCCCTTGCGTATCGATTATAGTCAGACGACGTGGATCGCGTTAAAAGCATAATGAGATTAAGGCGTCGAAACGTCGTGATTTGTTTAATTTTATTTCTACCTACGTGACTTTACCGAAAGAACCAAAGAGTATTAAGGCGTTATTTAAATGCAGTGCTGCATTATGTTCGATGTCAATGCGCATAGTGTACACGGACTTCATGAGCATGATACCAAATGTAAAGCGCCCATTTATTGATTTGCCAGATGGAAGTCCACCACCAACACAAGCATGTCGTGTACCGTATACAAACATACCGTACACGACACCTGGGCATAAATCGGACACACCGAGACTATCAATAAGTGGCTTTGACTGTTATAACCACTCTTTGGTTCTTTCGGTAAAGTCACGTAGGTATAAAATAAAACATACCTAAGTGACTTTACCAAAAGAACCAAAGAGTAAAGATTCCTGCAGTCACGAAAGCTTCAAATCAAGACTGTTATAACCCTGTGCATTATAGGGTTTGGCCTCGTAGAACCAAGCAATACCAGTGGTGCTCGCTGACACATTAATCCCACAACAAAATGTTGCATGCATAAACGATCTTGAGAGGCTGAAGAATAAACGATCAGAATCTGCGGCGTGCCTCTGAAAGCACTCTTTTATGCAATTGTAATCAGGGCGCACAGGGCTCTTTAACTCCTTTCATGCGCAATGTGCTGCTTGCTGGCACCTACGCATCATGGGGCCATCTACATCAGAGAGAAACTGGCATCAATAATTCTGCACTGTATATATAGTACATTTACATGCGCACATTAATCTGTGCCACTGAAAAGTGCAAAAATTTCGGCCCTTCTGTAAATCCGCTGCTGGGTGAATCCCTCCGCGTGCTGTCGGCCAAAGCGAGTGTTTGACCATACTTCTCCACGTTGGTCACTGCGGGTTGGTGAAGGGCGGTGGGTGGGTGAGGGGGGACCCAGAAATTGTTCAGATATCACCATCGATGTTGGGATTCAAACTCGGGTCCCTGGATTCTTCGCGCAGTGTGCGAACCGCGGTGCCCAGACCTACACCACTGCCTCCGACTTTAGTAACATGTACAGTGAGGGAAAAAAGTATGTGATCCCCTGCTGATTTTGTACGTTTGCCCACTGACAAATAAATGATCAGTCTATAATTTTAATGGTATTTATTTGAACAGTGAGACAGAATAACAACAACAAAATCCAGAAAAACGCATGTCAAAAATGTTATAAATTGATTTGCATTTTAATGAGAGACATAAGTATTTGACCCCCTCTCAAATCAGAAATATTTCTGGCTCCCAGGTGTCTTTTATACAGGTAACGAGCTGAGATTAGGAGCACACTCTTAAAAGGAGTGCTCCTAATCTCAGCTTGTTCCCTGTATAAAAGACACCTGTCCACAGAAGCAATCAATCAATCAGATTCCAAACTCTCCACCATGGTCAAAACCAAAGAGCTCTCCAAGGATGCCAGGGACAAGATTGTAGACCTACACAAGGCTGGAATGGGCTACAAGACCATTGCCAAGCAGCTTGGTGAGGTGACAACAGTTGGTGCGATTATTCGCAAATGGAAGAAACACAAAAGAACTGTCAATCTCCCTCGGCCTGGGGCTCCATACAAGATCTCACCTCGTGGAGTTTCAATGATCGTGAGAACGGTGAGAAATCAGCCCAGAACTGCACGGGAGGATCTTGTCAATGATCTCAAGGCAGCTGGGACCATAGTCACCAAGAAAACAATTGGTAACACACTACGACGTGAAGGACTGAAATCCTGCAGCACCCGCAAGGTCCCCCTGCTCAAGAAAGCACATATGCATGCCCTTCTGAAGTTTGCCAAAGAACATCTGAATGATTCAGAGGAGAACTGGGTGAAAGTGTTGTGGTCAGATGAGACCAAAATGGAGCTCTTAGGATCAACTCAACTCGCCATGTTTGGAGGAGGAGGAATGCTGCCTATGACCCCAAGAACACCATCCCCACCGTCAAACATGGAGGTGGAAATATGCTTTGGGGGTGTTTTTCTGCTAAAGTGACAGGACAACTTCACCGCATCAAAGGGACGATGGACGGGGCCATGTACCGTCAAATCTTGGGTGAGAACCTCCTTCCCTCAGCCAGGGCATTGAAAATGGGTCGTGGATGGTTATTCCAGCATGACAATGACCCAAAACACACGGCCAAGGCAACAAAGGAGTGGCTCACGAAGAAGCACGTTAAGGTCCTGGAGTGGCCTAGCCAGTCTCCAGACCTTAATCCCATAGAAAATGTGGGGGGAGCTGAAGGCTCGCGTTGCCAAACGTCAGCCTCGAAACCTTAATGACTTGGAGAATATCTGGAAAGAGGAGTTGGACAAAATCCCTCCTGAGGTGTGCAAACCTGGTGGCCAATTACAAGAAATGTCTGACCTCTGTGATTGCCAACAAGGGTTTTGCCACCAAGTACTAAGTCATGTTTTGCAGAGGGGTCAAATATGTATTTCCCTCATTAAAATGCAAATCAACTTATAACATTTTTTACATGCGTTTTCTGGATTTTGTTGTTGTTATTCTGTCTCTCACTGTTCAAATAAACC